CCGGGGGGGAGCCTGGGGTGGGCGGCCGGCCGGTAATGTGGGGGGTTGTGCTACGGGTGCAGCTCGGGAGCCAGTGTAAAGTAATACAGGAACTCGTGGCTCGTGGTTATGTGCTAATTATTCCCGTGGATTTCTGCTAATGTATTTTCCCATGCTTGCATTTTAGTGGAGTGGAAGCTAAGCAGCCCAATTCTGCCATCAGGAAGTGTGTCAGAGTCCAGCTGATCAAGAATGGCAAAAAAATAACAGCTTTTGTGCCCAATGATGGTTGCCTGAACTTCATTGAGGTGAATAGTTTTCAAGAAACAGCCTTTACAAAGTTGTACTCAGAATTGATGGAATTAGGCAAGATGAGGTTTTGAATTGTGTGTATCTTAATTCTGTATCTGCAAAAGCAGATGGAAAAATGTCAGAGGAATTTTTGTACTTCTCGCTGGCTAACTAAGCCACCCTCAGCAGCTTTACTGGAAATTGAATCACACCTCGTCTTCGAAGGGGATAATGTCCCATAATTTAGGTGTATCAATCAACAGCCTTCACTCTCCTGTCCTTCCACCCTTTCCTTGGGAAGTCTGTGGTGTGGCTCAGATTTAATGCAAGTTAATACAGAAAGGTGCACAAACCCAGTGTCTGCAGCTCTCTAACTGATCTGTCTTTTATTCTAGGAAAATGATGAAGTTCTGGTGGCTGGTTTTGGTCGGAAAGGTCATGCTGTGGGTGACATTCCTGGAGTCCGTTTCAAGGTTGTCAAAGTAGCCAATGTTTCTCTGTTGGCCTTGTACAAGGGCAAGAAGGAGAGACCAAGATCATGAACTGAAATTGAGCTGCCAAGAATATCAATAAAATTTTTGATTGGAAAAACTCCTGTGTGTGCTTTGTAAGGTGGCTTCTGGGAGGATGTTTATTTGCTTGTTAATTTTTTAACAAAAACCTTATTTTTGTCTCTTACACCAAGATTTTAAACACTTCAGGGAGGATATTCTTAGCATTAGTCCAGCATCTGTAGAAGAAATATAAGTGCTTAACATTTAAAAAAAATGCAATTTCTGTGAGAAACAGCAAGACCAGATCAGTCTCCATCAGAAAATACTTACTGTGGGTCATTTATTTTAAAGAGAGGCAATGAATTCCACCTTTGTAAAATATCACTGAATTCTACAAAGAAAGTTGAGTTGATATTTCTGGAGTAGAGGGCATTTGTACTACTTTAGACACCAAGTAGTTCCTTTTGTACTTCCTTAAGTTCCTATGGAATTTTTGATGTTTCAGTTTCCGGCCATTTCCTCTAGTCCTATCAGTGGCCACCACTGAAAAGAGACCATGACCATCCTCTGCACTCCGTCCCTTGAGGTATTTATATACACTGATCAGATCCCCCCTCAGCCTTCTCTTCTCCAGGCTGAACAGGCCCAGCTCCCTCAGCCTCTCCTCATAGGGCAGATGTTCCAGGCCCCTGATCATCCTTGTGGCCCTGCGCTGGACTCTCTCCAGCAGCTCCACATCCCTCTTGTACTGTGGAGCCCAGAACTGGACACAATACATTGGTGGGATCCCATTGGCCTTCTTGGCCACAAGGCCACACTACTGCCTCATGGTCAACTTGTCGTCCACCATGACACCCAGGTCCCTCTCTGCAGAGCTGCTCTCCAGAAGGTCGGTCCCCAGCCTGTACTGGTGTCTGGGGTTATTCCTCCCCAGGTGCAGGACCTTGCACTTGACCTTGTTGAATTGCATGAGGTTTTTCACCACCCAGTTGTCCAGTCTGTCCAGGTCCCTCTGGATGGCAGCGCAGCCCTCTGGGGTATCGGCTACTTAGTTCCTTTAGAGAACTATGGGGTTTTTGTTGTTTTGTTTTTAAACCTGAGATACTACATGTTGCTTCCTGGTCTGTTTGGCGGTTGAGTGTAGATACTGCTTGAGAAATACCTGTATTACCTCCAAGTAGTACTACATATTTTGGAACTTGATTGCAGACTTTTAGAACAAACAGGCACCTGGCTAGTGTAGTTGGAATTTTATCTTGTCATCTTACTAGTCACAAAACTTTGTACAGGAACAGAAATGAGTCTCTTTATGCTAGGTTAGCCTGTGCTGCCAAAACCTGGTATTTCTGTGGGACTATTTAATTCACGAGGCATCAAAACATCCTTTCAAGCAGCAAAGGTGGAAGGAGAGAAATTACACTTACCTTTGAAGAACAGCCTGGTCACTGGAACGTTGAGACCAGACTAGCCTGTATTCATGGTATTCAAATGATAATAGCAATTCTAGTTTCTAGTGTTAAGACACGCAACACATGACACAAGCTGTCAGGTTTAGGGCTCAAAGGGATTATTAAACTATCTCATCTCCTGCCCTACTCGGCATGTGGACCCTTACCCGGTTGCTTTCATATGAGGTGTAAATTAAAACTAGCTTGACTTAAATCTTCCTGATGGGAAGATACCCATTTCTTTTCATTCATTCCCGATGTTACTTGTCACCACTTAACTGTTGTGTTAGTGATTTTAATGCATCTTTGGTTTTGAGTAAGGCTTCTTGTCTTTATCTTTGCTAGATAGAAAATGTTTTGCAAACAGAACCTTTGTGTGTATGGTTTAAGAGATCTCTGTGCTGTAATCAAACACTTGAAAAATGGAAGTTTTTCATCAAGATTCACCTTTTTTTAATCTTGAATATTAATTCAAGATTCTCTATTCACTTTTTCAGCATCAGTCTAAAATATGGATGCTGGATATAGCATAATACAGAATAATAATTTGGCCTCAACAACAAAGAGGCCAAATTCTCCCTCCCTTAGCCTTCACATTGCTGTCAGGTCCTTCATTCTGCAGATGATCCTTTTACCTAAATTTGGCCACTGAAAACACATTTTGCACAAGGCTTCCGCAGCGGAGGGCTGGGTTCTTTGTTTTATATTCGAGCTATTTTGTGCAATGAAATGCTCAAAATATTTATTTGGATGAAGTTAGAGTGTAAACAATTCTCACATTATAATCAAGATTCATCTGTGTGTTCATCTGAGAGGCTCTGCTCCAAATAGTATTCAACTGATTTATATGAAAACAGAATAAATTCAAGAACAGATTGAGAATCTTTACCACTGAATATTTTGTAGTTTAGTCATCGTGGAGTCTGCGCAATCTGCCTTTAAATCCTTGCTTCAAATTAGGCACAAACTTGTGTTTCCCATATCCTTGTAACTGCTGTCAAAATGAATGTGAATTTGGTTGCGATTCCTCTTTGACTTCAATGGGGAACACTGGAAAAGATTCTGCTGGTGGTTCCCGAATTAAGACTCCCTCACAAGCAACTTGACTTTAATACCCCTTTATCTTCCCGGGTAAGACCCTACCTCAGTGCCTCCGTAGTGAGGTGCATGCTGCTCCGACAGCCTTTCCCATCAGTGCGCTTATTCTTAGGCATCCGAGAGGAAGCCCGTCAAGCCGTTTCTCTGCATTCCTTAGGGCAGGTTTCCAACCGGTGGACGCAGTTTGAAGATTTCTGCCGGCTTTGTGCTCTGCACTGCCCTCCCAAAGCCAAACAATAGGGCAGAGGGGTGGCAGAGTTTCTCTCTGAACCAAGTTTTGCAATTAGGTTTTGTGTTGGGAGCAAAAGAGGAAAGCAAAAATAAAGAAGGTAGGTGCATTTGGTGCCCCTTTTGGGCAGAAAGTAAGAAAAAGAGACAATGTGGTCTTGGGGTAAAGAAAAAAGGGACTGAGATAGCAAGAGCAAGAGAAGAAGAGTGTTGAAGAAGCAGCAGAATTTCTGCTTTTGCAACACAGCTGGAAGCAGGGAAGAAACAACATGATCTGAGGCATGGTTTACAAGAGGAGCTAATATGAAGAGGCCTCTTGAACCTCTGCCAGATTTGGATATAGTTGAAATCCAAGTGCATGTGCAATTCAGACAACTAGCACATTGGAGCACAGGTCAAGAGGAGAGGTTCGACAGATGACACCAGCAGCTATCGTCTCCCTTGCTCCCAGAGCACCCAGTATCACTAGTCCCAACCCTCCTGCTTTCTTATACAGTAGAGGGTTAACTGATGGTACTTCCTTTCATGTGTGTTCTGGATGTTTTCTCTTTTCATCCAAGATGTTATGCAGACAGATCTTGAGAACCTTCCAGATCCCAGTATTTCTGACAGTTTCAGTGACTCTAAGCTGCTGTTTAAGCACAGTGAGTTCAACCATGCTGTTGAGCATCCCAAACTCCCAGGTCTGTCCTTAGGCTACTGTGGCTGTGTCTGAAGCATATGTGAAACACGAAACAATCTCATAGGCTGCAGTAGAGATGCACACATATTCCTCTACAAAGTGTCTGGACTCTAGCTCTAATCTAGGAGAAGGAGGACGCAAGCAGACAGCCAGGTTTGAATGAATTGGCTGCCAACAGTGCAGCTGTATTTATGAATAATTTTAATCAAATCAGGTGTAGACTCAAAAGTGAGAAAAAAAATGGCTACACAGTTACATGCAAGAACTTTGTCAGCTTCTTTTGAGATGAGTCTTGATTATAGGAAGAATGAATTGTTTAGCAAAACCTGGCTGTTGAACATAGCGCTATGGTTCTGAACTTGCTGGTCTGACCCCAGTTCCTAGTGGTAGAGACAGATCTTAGATAGTTTAACCTAGAAATCTTGGTCCTATGTGTGCAATGTTACCAAAAACCACTGGTGTAGAAATTCCAGGTCCATTTCTACAGGAGCTACATTATTTCTGCTCAGAGAATCACTAGCTTCAGGCTTGTTATTCCAACAAAATGAGCCTGTTTTTGTTATTTTAACTTCGTTTTCTTGTTTAACGAAAGCTATGAGCGTGGATTCCAATGACGCTTCTTTTGGAAATGCATTCCACTCCAGCCAGCAAAAAGTACTGTTAAAGTCATTGGATTATGTAACTTTTCAAATTCTAAAGTCAATCTAGCAAAGCAAAGCACAAGAAGAGATATAAGGTTTTACTGAGGAGGTGGATGGATCTACATGAGTTTCTGATTTAGTTTCTGTAGCACATTGCTGTGAGATAATCTCGCCACTAGATGTTGCTGTCAGTACGAAGAGGGGCAAAGCTGAAAAATAAAAGGTGCAAACTAAGAAGTTGTTTATGTGCATTTTAACAAAGGAAACCTTCCAACTGGCAAATCCAGCTTTTAATTGATTGAACGAGTTTTCTGATAGGAGATTGGGATACTTTCTGTTCACTTATTGCCTTCAGGCACCCAAATGGTGGCTACCCGCCATATACCAACACTAGAGTTTGTGAAGGGAATTCAGCTGAAGCCATGTTAGGCTGTGAAGCACAGAAGGGAATACAAATGCTTATTACTGCATCAGCCATTTGTACCTTTAACAGTTTTGGTTAAATTAGGGGCTTCTTTTAAATGCTTGCAACGTAGCAGAAGTGAGAATAAGCTATTATTAAAATGAAGGGATAATATTAGTTACAAGGAGTGGGAGAACATACAGAACTGGGAGCACAAAAAGAAAAGCTTAAAGTTAAAGCTAATAGCATGTTTTGAGCTGAATTTTATCATTTGCTTTATGAACACATTTACAAGGTCACAGATCTAGTCAACACTCAGGCATCACGATTCTTCCAGCAAATAAATGCTCCTGTGGATTCTGTCATAGCTTAGCAATAACTTGTGCTATCTGGATGCCACAGCGGCAAAGAAGTCAAAAGAGGATGAGTCAAGCCAAACATAATCACCAGATCACTACTAAAGTGGTTTTAAGCATAAATAATAAGCCTTACAACTACGTGTTATACAACCAAAACCTTCTGCAGCAAAAAGGACTTCAGGCAGTTCCCAGAACAGGGATGAACTTGTATGATAGATACCACAGTCCAATCCAGCAG